ATTATTATTAATAGTGCTATTCTTCTTCTTATTATTCTTCTTCTTCTAAACTGGCAGAGTGCGGGCGACGAGGGCAATGGCGACGACGCCGACTGCGATGGCGAGCACGTGCCAGGCCAGTCCGCCCGAGCAGGGCGACGCCGGCGAGGCCGCTCCCGGGCAGGGCGCGCGGGCCCCTCGCTGTGTTGCCCCCGCCCGCTCCCCGGCCCGACGCCCCGCCCACCCTCCTTCCTCCCTGCTCGCTCCTCCGCCGTCCCTTCCTCCTCCTCTCTCCTCTCTCCTTCCTCCTCTCTCCCTCCTCCTCCTCCTCTCTCCCTCCTCCTCCTCCTCCTCCTCCTCCTCCTCCTCCTCCTTCCTCCTCCTCCTCCTCTCCTCCTCCTCCTCCTCCTCCTCCTCCTCCTCCTCTCCTCCTCTCCCTCCTCCTCCTCCTCCTCCTCTCCTCCTCCTCCCCTCCAATCCTCCTCCTCCTCCTCCTCCTCCTCTCCCTCCTCCTCCTCCTCTCCCTCTCCGCTCTCCTTCCTCTCTCTCCTCGCTCCTCCTCCTCCTCCTCCTCCTCCTCCTCCTCCTCCCCTCCTCCCCTCCTCCTCCTCCTCCGCCTCCTCCTCCGCCTCCTCCTCTCCTCCTTCCTCCTCCTCCTCCTCCTCCTCCTCCTCCTCCTCCTCCTCCTCCTCTCCTCCTCCTCCTCCTCCTCCTCCTCCTCCTCCTCCTCCTCCTCTCCTCCTCCTCCTCCTCCTCCGTCCTCCTCCTCCTCCTCCTTCCTCATCCTCCTCTCTCTTCCCCATCCCTCCTACCGTCCTTCTCCTCCGCGTTCCTCCTACCCACCTCTCCTCTTCTCTCCTCCTCCCTCCTCCTCCTCCTCCTCCTCCTCCTCCTCCTCCTCCTCCTCCTCCTTCTCCTCCTCCTCCTCCTCCTCCTCATCCTCATCCTCCTCCTTTGTCTTTCTCACTATCGTCTATCCTCCTCGTCTTCATCCTCCGTCCTGTTCTGCCAGGCAGTGGCCTGAAAATCCACACATGGAGCACCTCCACTGCCAATTGTTGACGCTTCGCCTATGCCCACCAGTTGTTCCTTGCTCTTTCGCCCTCTTGCTCTTCGTCGCCTCGCCCCCTGTGTGCTTTCGTTCATTTCTCATCCGCCGCGCAGTTCTCGCCACCGTTGTGGCCCTTTTTCCGCCTGTCCTGTTAGGTTGGCCTGTCGCTTGACCATTTGACGGCGCGCAGCTGCCTGCGTCGCTCGCGATCGAAAAGTACGCCCACCAGTGCTCGTAGCCCGAGCTGACTTGTGACGCCGCGGGCGCCTTCGCCTGCGGCTGCGACAAAAAAGTATGCCCACCAGCTTTTGGACGGCGTCCAGCGTCTCCGGTGCGCTTGCGATAAAAAAAGGATCCCCACCAGCCCGTCCAGGAACGATCGTCAAGCGTTTCGCCTTGGTCAGGGATGTGCGGTGAAGTTGAGGCGGACCCTAGGTGGGAGGAGGAGGTGGGCGAGGAGGTGGGAGGAGGGAAGGAGGTCGAGGAGGCCAGGGATGTGGGAGGAGGAGGGGGAGGAGGAGGAGGAGGAGGACGGGAGAGGAAGACGGCAACGACGAAGTGAGTCAACCACAAGGGCAGTCGCAGATCTTTCGCTTCGAAAGCCTCCTGAAGCCATCTTGAAGGTTTCTGTGGGCTATATTGGGAGCCGTCGGAACCTTTTTGGGGCTCTCCTGTCTCTCCTGGAGTCCCCTTGGGGCCGATGGGGAAGAAGGCGGTCGAAAATGGAAACTGCCTAAACCATCCGAATTCGGAAGAGATGGTGGAATTCAATGCAGGCAGACGCCTCTTCTCCCTCGTCCATCCTCCCTCCTTTTCCTTTCTCGGCAAACGGGGTACCACAGACCGCCAGTGCAGCATCAACCCTGCCTGCACGGTGGCCCCACAAGTTCTCCGACAGGTCCGCAGTGGGCGAAGAGAGGTTCAATATGCTGATGTGTCGTAAAAACTGGCGAGGGCCGCCAGGAGATGCCCAGGCGCCTCGCACACTCGGACGAACCTACTGTCCCCGGAGCTCGATTCGATTCGATCCTTCCTTCCTCGCACCGGGTCCGCCGCGGCTACCCCGCGGAGGATCTCGTGTGCCGTTGGCCGCCGGCGGCCTGCGAGGTTTGCCAGCACTCCGTCGCTTGCCGCTTGCCAGTGCCAGTGTCCAATTGGGTCGGACGAGTGGCGGCGCAGGTCAGAAAGGCATTATCGGATTGGGAGGATGTGTCCAGAGAAAAAAGGCATATCATTATTAGTAACCGCAGGCAGTTATTCAGAACCCCCCCCTCTCTCGGCAAAAGGATGAGACTTCCCGCGCCGGGAAGCGTTATCCGGGCACCTGCCGTCAGCAGGAGGATGAGGAGGAGGTTGATGATGGTGATGATGGTGATGATGATGCTGCTGCTGCTGCTGCTGCTGCTGCTGATGATGATGATGATGATGATGATGATGATGATGGTGATGACGAGGAGGAGGAGGCGGAGGAGGAGAAGGAGGAGGAGAAGGAGGAGGAGGAGTCCTCCCTCGCTTCCAAAACGAATGTGCGCGGCGCTACTACGAGAGCTGCATTTTGAAAACGAGCAGCCCTCAATCCGTGAAACTCGTGCAGCTGTTTGAAGCGAACGTGCGCGGCGCTAGGGCGAGAGCCACATGTTGAAAACGAGCCGCCCTCAATCCGTGAAACTCGTGCAACTGTTCAAATCGAATTTGCGCGGCGCTAGGGCGAGAGCCACATTTTGAAAACGAGCCGCCCTCAATTCGTGAAGCTCGTTCAACTGTTTCAAGTGACTGTGCACGGCGCTAAGGCGAGAGCCACACACTGACAAGGAGCCGCCCTCGATCCGTGAAGCCCTTGCAAAATGCTCGAAACGAATGTCAAGGTCCTTGCGTTCTTGCCGCCAGCCCCTTATCATAGATGGTGTCTGTGGGGGGGAGATGGATCATTCTTGTTCGTTCGTTATTTGGCGCGGTGCTAAAGTTAGCGTTCGACCAAAACCCTTTTAGAATGTTTTCATGTCGGTGCGGTGCTATTGATGACCTTGGGGGGGTCGTAGTACGCTCTTGCTGTTACCGCGTCTGTCGACGGTGCTTATTATACAGTCGCGCCTTGTGTCTTCCCAACCCCTTCCTCCTCCCTCCTCCCTCCTCCCTCCTCCCTCCTCCCTCCTTCCTCCCAACACGACAGTTGTCTTTCTCAACAGGAAATCGCTGGGGGGGGGCGAAATCTGCTGCGTGCAGCCGGCCTCGGCCCCGCCGCCCAGCGACTTCCTGGGGTGTATACGGGCGCCCACGGCGCAAGGAGGCGCGGGGGGAAATCGGCTGCTTGGGCTGCTTCCCTGATCCCCCCTCCTCCTCCTCCTCCCTCCTCCGTCCTCCTCGTTTTCCTCCTCCCACCCCCCTCCTCCTCCTCCTCCTCCCTCCTCCTCCCTCCCTCCCTCCCTCCCTCCCTCCCCATCCATCCTCCCACCTCCCTCCTCCCTCTTCCCTCCTCCTCCTCCTCCTCCTCCTCCTCCTCCTCCTCCTCCTCCTCCTCCTCCCCCTCCTCCTCGGAGCGAGAGAACGAGTTCCTCCCTCCCCCTCCTCCTCGTTCTCTCGCTCCGAGTTCCTCTCCAGCCAATTGGTCTCCTTTTCTACCCCCACCTCTCTACTCACGAATGCCATGGCGTGCGCATGGAGGTGCGCGTCCGTTACGCTAGACACGATTTGGGGGCCGCTGTATCGGCGATTGGAGGTCGCCGCTCAGGAGTCTCTGAGCCTTCCCGCTCTCAGCAGTGGCACGTGGTGTGCACCGTGCTGGGCCCGCAAGAAGGCCATTGTGCAATATTATCACGAGCTTGCGTCCGCCGCGCCAGCATCGAATTCTCCCCTTACCTCATCGCACCTCCGTGTTGCCCAACAGCGGGCGCGCGGTGCCCTGCGCGCTGCGTTCGCACTCAATCGTCGACCGCGGATGCAGGGAGTGTATCATCGCTCCATGGCCGGCGACGCTTATCCTGACCAGTTGCAGTTGCTAATTGGTAGGCGATTGCGCACATGTTTTTTTTTGTCCGACACCCCTCCGGCTCAGGGAGCGATGGGATTTGGTGCGGGACATCTTGAGCCGGGCTCCACCCATGGTGCGATGGCCGTACCTCAAAACGATTGCGGGGGGATGGACGACCATTCACCGCTTGCACGTCACGGACATCAAGTGGAGCTGCATTTTCGGGTGCCCTCAACCCGGTCGCATTGCACACTATTTGACGTGCCCCCGCCTCACCCATCTCGTTTGTCGTGCTCGAGTTGTCGTCTCGTCGTGCCCACTCCTCCGCCTCGGGCTTGGCCTTCCTGTGCAATATCCCGCGTGTGACCTCACCCGGGAAAATGCCATTTTAGCTATTGCCCTCAGCTTCTATATATACCACGTGACCAAAGATATGGTCTCTCATCAAGACGGGCGCCCTTTAACTCTGCCCCAACAGCTAGATGCCCTCCAAGCGGCGCTAGCAAAGATGCCCAACAATTACTCGATTATTCCGCCACCGCCTGGATCGGCTAGGCCTTACCCCTGGCTGAAACCCACGAGGAGTTGAGCGCTTCGAGACCCGTGGACTCGTGGGGTACTGGCGCTCCTCCCCCTCCTCCTCCTCCTCCTCCACCTCCTCCTCCTCCTCGTCAGAATTGTCACCCCGCAAGCGGCAGCGAGGACTGCGGGGGATCGGGGGATGGAGCTGTCAGGGTCCTCACTTCCGAACGACGGCCGCAACGTCATCCTTTCCCCTCGCCGTACAGTCAAGGCTCAGGAGGGGCTCTGGTCTTCGGGGAGCTCCTCGAGGCTCGCCGCTGCCAGAAAAGCCCCTCCGGTCCTTCGTCTACATTCCCTGTGGTAGCACGACGACTGCAGCCATTTTGGCTCCAGTCGCAGGCTGGCCGATCGCCCGGAGCTCCGGCTAAATTTTTGTGACCCCCGGCTTGCTATCCGCGCAGCGGTCTTCGCCCGGCGGACATGGCGAGCAAGGCAGAGATCGCCGCGGCCGTGCGGGACTACAAGGTGTACCCTCGCATCGACTACAGGACGATCGAGGGCGTCGAGGGCCCGCTGGTCATCATGGACAACGTCAAGTTTCCCACCTACGGCGAGATCGTGAACGTCAACCTGTCGGACGGGTCGGTGCGGCAGGGCCAGATCCTCGAGGTGAACAAGAAGAAGGCGGTCGTGCAGGTATTCGAGGGCACCAGCAACATCGACAACAAGAACTGCCACATCGAGTTCACGGGCGACACCCTCAAGATGCCGATCTCGGACGACCTCCTCGGCCGCGCCTTCAACGGCTCCGGGAAGCCGATCGACAAGGGCCCCGCCGTGCTCGCGGAGGACTTCCTGGACATCAACGGCGCGCCCCTCAACCCCAAGTCGCGCGTGTACCCCAAGGAAATGATCCAGACCGGCATCAGCGCGATCGACACCATGAACTCCGTGGTCCGCGGGCAGAAGCTGCCGCTGTTCTCCGCGGCAGGCCTCCCGCACAACGAGATCGCGGCGCAGGTGTGCCGGCAGGCCTCCCTGGTCAAGGGCAAGGACGTGAGCGACCACTCCAAGGATCGGCTTCACGTAGGAGTGACCTTTCGCCGGAGGGACCTCTGTCGAAGAAGAAGAGGCGCCATAAACCTGAAGTGAATGTGTGGCGCTCCGCGCGGATTTCTTGGATCCGCGCTCGGCCCCCCAGCGGCGCCTCCGGGTTTATGTCGTTTTTGCTCCTCTATTGGATGCGGGCACACTGGGGGCCGCCAGGTGGCTGAATGCAACACGATAGCAGCGGCTTGCGCGCTCCGGTTCGGCCTCCCCGCGGCCCTGCCCGCAGGCCGCGAACCAGAGGGTCGCTCTTACCCAGGGTCAGTCCTTGCGTGCAGTCGAAAGGAGAACTTCAGCATCGTGTTCGGGGCCATGGGCGTGAACAGGGAGACTGCCACCTTCTTCAAGCGCGACTTCGAGGAGAACGGCTCCATGGAGAACGTCGTGCTCTTCATGAACCTGGCGAACGACCCCACCATCGAACGCATCGTGACCCCTCGGCTGGCCTTGACCACGGCCGAGTACTTCGCGTACACGCGCGAGCAGCACGTGTTCGTCATCCTCACCGACATGTCCTCGTACGCCGACGCCCTCCGCGAGGTGTCCGCCGCGCGCGAGGAGGTGCCTGGGCGCCGCGGCTACCCCGGGTACATGTACACGGATTTGTCTACCATCTATGAGCGCGCCGGCCGGGTAGAGGGCAAGACGGGGTCCATCACGCAGTTCCCCATCCTCACCATGCCTAACGACGACATCACGCACCCCATCCCGGACCTGACTGGGTACATCACGGAAGGGCAGATCTTCGTGGACCGCTCCCTGCACAACCGCCAGATCTACCCGCCGATCAATGTGCTGCCGTCCCTCAGCAGGCTGATGAAGTCGGGTATCGGCCAGGGGATGACCCGCAAGGACCACGGCAACGTCTCTGATCAGTTGTACGCGAACTACGCAGAGGGCCAGGACACGAAGGCCATGAAGGCCGTCGTCGGGGAGGAGGCCCTGAGCGAGGACGAGCACAAATATCTGGAGTTCTTGGACAAGTTCGAATTGAAGTTTCTGTCCCAGGGTCCCTACGAGAACCGCGACATCTTCACCTCCCTGGACCTTGCATGGACACTGCTGCGGATCTTCCCTCAGGACATGCTCAAGAAGATCCCTGCAAAAATCAAGGACGAGTTCTACAGCCGCGAGGGTGAGATCCAGAAGGCCGCGCAGGCCATCAAGATGTAGAGAGCCCCAGGGCGGCCCGAGCGGTGTGGGACTACGAACGGTACACCGCGAGTGACGCCAGGGCTATATCAAGTTCCAAGCTGTCCCTTTGGGGTGCTGGGGGGAGGGAGTGACAGAGAAAGAGAGCGAGGGAGAGGTCGAGTGAGAGAGAGAGAGAGCGCGCGCAGAGACATGGAATCTCTATGATAGTATGAGAGAGACGAGGAGAGAGACAAAACAAACAGAGAGAGAGAGGGGAAGCCGAAGAGGGCGGGGCAGGACGGCGACGGAACGACGCATCGTTGTTGCTTCGATTAGGGCATTGTTGCGGAGCGCTCGCAGGACCGCGCCGCTTGGCACCTCGTTATCATCTCCTTCCCTCCTCTTCCTGGGCGAGGAGGAGAGAGAGGAGGAGGAGGAGGAAAAGCCAAAGGAGGAGGAGCAGGAGGAGGCGGAGGAGGAAGAGCCAAAGGAGGAGGAGGAGGAGGAGGAGGAAGAGGAGGAGGAGGAGGAGGAGGCGGGTCCCTCATCACTTCCTCCCTCCGTCCCCGCCGTGCCCCTTCCCGTCCCACCACCTTCCGCCCCCTCTCCCTCTCCTCCCCCATACCTCCCCGACGCCCGCCGACTTGGGACCTCTCAGCCCACCACCCCGGAGCTCCCGACCCCCTCCCTGGGCCAGGCTGTTCTGCCCCGGCCCCATGGTTGCGGGCCCCCCGGCCCGGCCACAGACCCCGGTACAGGCCGAGGCCGAGGAAAAGCGCCGGCACTGCAGCAAAAGCGCCTCGTCGGAGCTCTGGCCTCACTCCCTCCCCCCTCCTCGCCCTCCTCCCTCTCCTCCTCCCCCTCATTCCCTCTCCTCCCCCTCCCCACCCACAATTACACAATATGAATACTACTCCACTCTCTCCCCTGATGACGTCCGGAAGATATTCGGCCCCCCTCCGCGTACTGTTCTTTTGTACACAATATTCCCGGAAATTGGACTTTCGCTTTGTTTTTGTTTCAAAATGCTGCTCCCGCTGAGGCGCTGGCCTCATTTTCGGACTTCGCTCGTTCCGAAACGCACTCCCGCTGCAGCGCTGGCTTCATTTCCGCGCTTCCGCTCGTTCCGAATCGTGCTCCCGCTGCAGCGCTGGCGTCATTACTTCCAGTGCCATACCACGGCATTGGTTCCGGTCCTTCCAAATAGGCCCCAAAATCTAGAAAATGGCCCCCGTGAAAACCATCGGAAGTGATTACACACTCGGTGTCGATTCGATGGTTTCTGTTGACCGCAGAAGCCCCGGTGGGGCGTCGCCACGCCATGCTATGTCATGCTGCGCGTTGATTTTCAACACCATGATCTCCCCTGTAATGCAACGCCATGCTACGGCATTAGACTGTGCGAATAGAAAGGAGATTTACGCCATAGTAAGGGACGGGAGGAAGGGGTAGGACGTCAGATACGGCGCGAGTGCACCTAGCTTGCCGCTTGCCCTCCTCCCCCACCTTCTCCTGCTTCTCCTCCCTCCTCCTCCTCCTCCTCCTCCTCCTCCTCCTCCTCCTCCTCCTCCTCCCCCTCCTCCTCCCCCATCTCCTCCTCCTCCTCCTCCTCCTCCTTCTCCTCCTCCTCCGCCTCCTCCTCCTCCTCCTCCTTCCCCGCCTCCCCCTCCTCC